AAAGGAGGTACGATTGAAAATGTTAGGCTAAAAGAAAACCATATTCAGAATAGACTACCTTGCGAGGGATGTCATTGACAGCCTCCAAATGGTTATGTAGATCTTTCAAATGGTCAAATGCAACTTGATGAAAACTTTTTCTTTTACCAGTCATAGTCCTTTTCATCACTCCAACTTGATGAAAATCAATTATGGTGAATTTTCAGTGTTGGTCAATGGAGAAATTTCTTAAATTAAAAATTTGAATTGAAAAGGAAATTTCTTAACTTTGATTGCTTTTTTGTAATTTAAGTTTGGTTGCTTTGCTGGTTAGAGTTGATGGAAGAGAACCCTCAATCAGCATGGCCCTTCTGAAACTGGAGAGCACTCAATGGACACAGGCGAGATGTACACTGATGATGATGATGATGGAGAACCCTCCATTGACGCAGATGAGATATTTACCGACGATGATGATGACAGCCCTTCTGCACATGGAGAGCCCTCAATGAGCCCTTCTGGAGATGGAGGAGCCGACTGCAGCCAGATTCAAGGCAAAGAATTGTCAACAAGGAGTGTTTTCAAAGGTACAACAATATTCGAATATATTTATAAAAAAAATATTAAAAATTAAAGAGTATAGCCGTTCGGCTATAATGTTTAAATAATAGAATATATTTCAGGAGTATAGCCACATACTAAATAAATATTCCCATATATTTTAACAGTATAGCCGAACGGCTATACTATTTAAAATTAATAATAAATTTTAATAGTATAGCCGTTCGGCTATACTGTTAAAATACTAGAATATAGCCGTGCGGCTATACCATTAAATATTAGAATATAAATAGTATAGCCGGGCGGCTAGACTAAGTCAAATATTCGAACATATTTAAAATGTATAGCCGTTCGGCTTTACTATTTAAATATTATAATTTATTTGGACGAGTATAGCCGCCCGGGTATACTATTAAAATAATCAAGGTTGAATTATGATATTAAAATAATCAAGGTTGAATTATGATCCTTTTGTTCTAGTTTTACATCCACCGTATTTGTCTACCAAATGCCGGTTGAATTATGAAATTATTGGAATCTATATGCATATGGAAGCACTTAGGCGAAAAATATTAGAATGATGGCGACTTGCACTGTGATCTTTGTCTTTGAGACTGCCGGTGCCAAGAGGAGAGACAGATAGATGTTGTTGAACTGATCTATCTAAACCCTGTTCCTGAAAACCCATTAGTGCAGAAAACACCGGCGAACCCAGAAGAAGAAGATTCAAAGCCACAGGCTTTAGATCCTCTCTCTCTCTCTCTCTCTCTCTCTCTCTCTCTCATATTTTATGCAATTGATTTCTAGCTCATGAAATGGAATAGAGTCCGTAAAGTTGCAGACTTGGCCTTTTTGGTGATTTGTGTGGAGTGATACACCGTCTGTGGATTTTGGGTATTGATGGGATTTTTGTTTTATCCTCTGCGTTTTTATGTCATACTGTCAAGTGCACATGAAGGCTCTTGCTTCTCAAAATTGTTATAATACTAACACGTGTAATAATCCTTAAAAAAATATTAATTAAGTTAATTAATCATGTAATCTCTCATTTATCTTATACTAGCCTCTTCACATACGCTTCCACGCCTTCGAGAAGCTGCTTCTTTTTAGAAATTTTTTAATTTATTTTAGAATTAAAAAAGATAATGGGTAGTTGTGTTCCATAAAAATAAGAATCATTATCTGATTTTTCTTTTTTTAAAATTTTTTGTTAATATGAAAAAGTGTAAATTTATCATATTATCTTCATTTAATTAATAATTTCAATTTTTAATGTTTACATTATACAATGACATTTTCTGATATTTTGAATTTTTCATCATTCTATATCTTTTGCTTTATATATATAGATAAATTAATCATATGTGCAACCAAGCCGAAGGCCTTTAATTATAGATATCCCGAATTTAAGATGAAAGTTCAAATGTGCTTAGGTCCTACATATATGATGAACACGAATGCGACTCTCCCTTGCTTCACTAATCACAACTAATCCGTGAAGCCAAAGTTATTAGCGCACGTAGCCACAAATTATCGGCTAAGGTGGTCAAATTTCGGTCAATTACGAAATACCGAGCTTGATTTTGACTCTCCCTTTGGTTTCCTATTCTTTAATTTCCAGTCAATCTGAGTTCCTAAATCAAACTTTTATTAGGTGACTCATACAAGAAACGTGAGTATGTGAAAGATAGGGGCAACACTTGCTTTCAAGTTCTCATGAATTTACAGTTTAAAATGAAATACAATAGAAATGTTATAAATCCAGAGGCAGCTTTCTCAAAATTTAATCTTAGTAATGACCCAAATTAAACAAGCCAATTTCTAGATCTTCAACTTCAATCATGGATAAGAAGCGTGCATGTTAAACGGGTTGGAATATTCACTATCATGGCGCCATCCATATGTCATGAGCTGCACATACTTCTTAATGAGACATTGACACCAAGGCTATAAGTTAACGGGGCTAAAAGAGCTATTGTTTCTGCATCCCAAGTTCTGTGTTCGAATTCCCCTTCTTTAAATATCATTTATATCAATTAAAAAAAGAAAATCTTCTACATTTCTAAATAATTTATACAATTTACGAGAATGACTACATGATTTTTTGCCCTAATTTATTCATGAGATAAGATTCTAATAGTAACACGTGTAATAATCCTTAAAAAAATGAAATCTTCTACGTTTCTAGATAATTTGTATAAGTTTTATGAAGGATTCAAGTCCTTACTTATTCAATAAAATTTATTTTTATGGAACTAACAAATAAAAAAGTTGTGGACAAAATCATCTGGACCTATGAAGATCCTACAAGGCATCCTTCTTATGTTATGCATGGAAAGATTTTGAAGTTAAAAGCCACAAAGAAAAATGGTCATACAAGGATGATACTACGTGGCTTGCTGCTAAAGGATGCAATGGAGTTGGAAGTCATTTTGAATACTCTAATGACGTTGTATGACCATCAAATATTCAAAGTCCTATGGGCCCCTTAGTGATAATTTTAATTTGTGTGTTAATACGTGTTTATGTTCCTAATTATGTTATTAAATTTGATTTGGCCCAAATTTGATTTACTCCATAGAGTTTCAAATTGTGTGAATTTTGTCTTTTTTTAGATTGCCAAGTATAGTAAGGGCCCGTCTGGTAACGTTTTCGGAGAGTGTTTTCTGAGAATATTTTCAGAGAATGAAAACAAGAAAACAAATTTGCATTTTCAGGAAATGAAAATGCGTCTGGTAGATTAATTAGAAAACATCTTTAGAAAACAAAAACAATAAAAACGTGTTTGGTAGTACAATTATTTTTCAAGTGTATTTTTGCTAATTTATGTTCTAAAAAATATTTTTTTTAATGATAATTTGACAATAAAAAATTATATTGTTTTTTTTAAGTTAAACTTTTTTTTATCTTCCTCCTTTCTTCTTTTTTCCTTTTCTTTCTTCCTCTTCTCTCCTTTCTCTTTTCTTCTCCCTTCCCAGGCCGTCCTCTTTTCTTCTTTTTTCCTTTTCTTTCTTCCTCTTCTCTCCTTTATCTTTTCTTCTCCCTTCCCAGGCCGTTCCTTTCTTCCTCTTTTTTTCTTTTTTCCTTTTCTTTCTTCCTCTTCTCTCCT